AAAAAAAAAAGCCGCGATTGCGATCTGCGGCGGCAATTCGGCGGAAGATCCTTCGCTCCGAGCGGGAGTGAGGGACCGTCCGCCGAATAGCTGGACGTGCCGCCCCTCTCCGAAGTGGCCCCCCCAAGCTTGGTAAGCTGGTGCCTGGAGCCGGCCCTGCCCACAACCCTGGCAATAAAAATTAGCCTGATTTGGCCTTTAGGTCACATGGTATTGCTAGTTCCCTCAACTCTGCATCAAACAAGATCCCTTGCTCTGAGCTGTCTGAAATCCCAGTCTGAACTCTGCAGCTGGAACCATGTCTACAAAACTTGCTTTTGAGTTTCCCCTAGATTACACCCAGGCACTCTCAGAGGCTGGCAATGCCCTAAACTGGGTGAACCTCCACTGCCCCAGCTCTCTTCCCATCCTCACCCTGGGCTGCAACTTCTGTGACCCTGTCTAGAAACAAAAGAAGTTCTTCATGACCGATTATTGCTGCTTTGTGTAGAGATTACCAGCAGAGGCAGCCACAGGAGTTGAGCAAAGAGTGGGAAGCCTATGCTGGGGTAGGGAGTGAGGGCGACCACCTGGCTTATTCCATCTATCGCTCCATGACACAGACTTCAGCTCCCAAGTGTCACAGATTAAACTTTTCCTCCAGTTATCGCCAGCTTCACAGTTGCTGAGCTGGCTTGGCTAAGAAGTGAGGCACAAGTGAATGAATCCGTCAACTCCCACTGCTGGATGGTGTCAAGTGTCCTGAAAGAAGGAATGAGTGGGAGGAGGCTGGGAGCGTTCATTGGGGCTGTCAGGTGCTCTGCTCCTTTTTGGCAACTGCCAAGCTTATGCCAGCTTCTTGTTTGTGGTAGCTAAAATTCTAGTTTTGGGCCACGGAGTCCTAACTCCCCTGGTCCTGGCCCTTGTGGAAGGTGATGCAGTATGCCGCATCAATGTCTCTAGAGGTGCAAGCTTTAGTTCACTTGTAAACTACTCTGAGCAAAACCCTTTGATTGGTAGAACAGATGTTTCCACTTCAACGCACATGAGGCTTAAACAGCCTTTGGCTGCCTTTGCAATCTGTCTTTCAGCACTGGCTAACTACTCCTGCTGGGAGGCTGGCCTTTTGCTTGCTTGCTTGCTTGCTACAGAAATTCCTGGCAGGCAGAGTGGTGGAGAAAAGGGAGGGCTAAAACAAAATCTAAAGTTAAAGGCTCTCTACTTCCCCACAGGCTCCAGTTGCCACCCTAATTCCAGCAGAATCTCAGCAGGAAATATTGTCACTGCACAGCTGGGGCTGTTCTCTAGGGTGTAAGTAGGGTGACCAGACAGCAAATATGAAAAATTGGGACAGGGAGTAGGGGGTAATAGGAGCCTATATAAGAAAAAGACCCAAAAATCGGGACTGTCCCTATAAAATCGGGACATCTGGTCACCCTAGGTGTAAGGGGTGTGGTGCCTTGTCAGCATAGGCAAAAGGCAATTGCTTTGTGTGTGTGTGCCCGCATATGCGGAAAGCCACACAGCATTTTGTGAGGAAGCCTTGAAGGGGACTTGTGTATGTGAGATGGCAACTGCTGGAAGTTCGAAGCAGCTGATCACTTTGCTTAAAAGGTTAGAATTAGGCGTAGTTCTATTCCAAGAGCAGTTCTTACGTGTGAAACTCATTTGACCGAAGAGGGCTAGAAATCCCATTCCCCACTGTTGTTTCACAGCATACACACACAACTTGGATAGAACAGATTCTCCTGCTGGAAGGTTCCACCAGAACACTACTTTTGTTAGAATTCAGAACATACAAGAACCCCGAAACAGAGACACAGCTCCCTACAGCAGAGAGGTACAACTTGCTCCGCCTTCCCGTAGACTGTCTGGCTGCGGACCCTGCTGGAACACTTTGCTATGGAGCCCTGTAACCTGCATGCAAGATCAGGGAAGCCTTCTCCCAGCTCCTAAAGTGATAGCTTGCAATTCCAACACAGTCCTCCATACACCAAACCACCACACATCCCCAGGGTTGGAGGTCTGAAAGACCTCAAAATGCCTGACTTAAACTTTGCACGAGTGTAGCTACATTGCTGTAATTACAAGTGCATAAGCTCCTACTTCAGCTATGCTGCACCAGCGTAAAGTGGATTTACTCTGGTGCAGTTGGCTTTGGTAATTTACTAGCGCGAGGTGCAATAGCATATGCCCAACTTCACATCAGAGTCCTGCATCTGTCTACATCTACACTGAGCTAGGGATGTGATTTCCCTCGTTTGTGTACATGTAAATAGCAGTGTAGCAGCAGGAGCATTGGGTAGCGGCAGCGGAGGTCTGGCTGAACTGTGCTGTGTACAAATCTGCCTGAAACTCCGCACAGCTGTGCCGTTGCTGCTGCAACCTATGCCACCATGGCTACGCTGCGATTTATGCTCAATCTAGCTTGCTTGTATGTGTATGTGAGCAGGGGAATCATAGACTATATAAGAGGTTTGCACCCCTTTTGTATCCATGTAGTTACACCACTGCAAATGTCTCTTATGTAGGTAGGACCTCCTAGGCATCCTTCATTAAACCTGCTTTGAGCAAAACACACTCTACATCTAGGGAATATCTGGAGTGTAGCCATGGGTAGGTCGTTAGATTTTTATATAAATCTTCTTATGGCCAGCAGTAGACAGAACTCTAGCTGGCTAAAATATTGCCTGCTGTGCTAAAAACAGAGGCATTTCTTGCTGTTTAGACTAACTTGGGGCTCTTACGTTTCCTGGTGCCAGTCGCTGACTCTGAAGCTAGAAAACTTTGTTTGAAGCATCGCTGTATAAATGGCACAAGTATCACCACTCTCCGAAAAGGAACCAAAATGCCACTTTAGCTTTTAATGGCTTGTGAAGTGGAGGGGGACAGGGATATGGGAGGCACCAGCCTTTGTTTTGTGTAGCTATACAAAACAAACTGATCTAAGCAAAAGGAGGCAGGTGGAAACACACCTCCCTCCCAATAGTGTGACACCTCATGGTAGAGTTGACGACTTTCCCTATGCCTCAACCCCCGAAAGTGATGTCTAGTCCATAGGAATTGCTACACTGGATGAGAGCAGTGCCTCATCTAGTCCTGTATCTGTCTAATCCTTATAGCTGTTTCAGAAGAAGGTGCCAGGTTCCCTGCAGGTGGGAGGTAATCAGTCCAGTGTGACAATCTTACTCCCAATTGTTAGAAGCTGGCTTATATACTGAAGCATCTGGGTTCATATCACTTCCAATGCACTTGATTTTTTTTTTAAAGATCCTTGCTATTAGAACTCTGAATATTCTTGTTTATCCATGTAAATATCCAATTCTTTTTTTGAATCCCACTAAATCCTTGGTCTCAGTGATACCACATGGCAATGGAGTCCACAGATGGATTCTGGCAGAATGGGAGTGATACATTTTTTTCATCACTTTCAAATTTGCCGCCTTTGTTTCATAGATTTTGGGGGGCCGGGGGACGACAACATGTTTGTGTCATGAGATCTACCTCCCCCCCCCGCTGTGTATTGGAACAATAGGAGAGCAAAGAAAGATGCATTGCTTTGTTTGGTCTTATTGACTGCAGTGGATATTTAAAAGGATTCATTATAAAACTGAGGGGGAATGAACTGCTCAAAGAACCCAAATAGCCTGTGACGCTTCAGGAAAAGCAAGTGAAATTGAGACACAGTCCATGGGATTCTTAGTGTTAAGTGTGTACTTCATGCTGATGCACAACCTGAAACCTGCCTGGTCTTGGGATCCCTCTTATGCTGTTCTACTGTGCTTAGAGAAGCTTTAATCAAACCTAGACTCTAGTTTGACCTTTAAACAGGGGAAGTATCCGTGTGGAAGAGTCATTAACTTCAAGATGGAGAAGTAATTTGGGATGCTGGAATGACTGCACAGAATCAGCTGTTCTTTGCGGAAGAATGAGATAAGGGAACTTGATACTTGTGTTGCTGCAGCTGGTCACTAAGGGAAAGCTTTGCTTTAGTATTTTTCTTGGGCTCAGAGGGGAAGACTGGGGCAGCATCACCTCTAGCATCTAAGGGTATGTCTACACTACGAGGGTAATTCGATTTTACTTAAATCGAATATGTGGAATCGATATTGCAAAGTCGAACGTGTGTGTCCACACTAAGGACACACTAAGGACAGTAATTCGACTTTGTGAGTCCACACTAACGGGGCGAGCGTCGATATTGGAAGCGGTGCACTGTGGGCAGCTATCCCACAGTTCCCGCAGTCCCCGCTGCCCATCGGAATTCTGGGTCGAGCCGCCAATGCCTTCTGGGTAAAAAAAATTTGTCGTCATCCGTCCGTCACTAACGCCCTCCCTCCCTCCATGAAAGCGCCGGCGGGAAATCAGTTCGCGCACTTTTCTGGTCAGTGACAGCGCGGACGCCACAGCACTGCGATCATGGATCACGCTGCGACCATCGCTGCACTTGTGGCCGTTCTCAACACCTCGCAGCTTATCATACACCTTTCCCTGAGGCAGATGCAGAGAAATCGGGCGAGGAGGCTACGGCACCGCCGTGAGAGCCTGAAGTCGGAGAGTGGCACAGAGCTGTCAGAAACCACGAGCCCCAGCGCCCAGGACATGACGTTGGCAATGGGGCATGTGGATTTTGTTGAACGGCGATTCTGGGCCCGGGAAACAAGCACGGAATGGTGGGACCGTATAGTGCTTCAGGTCTGGGATGAATCCCAGTGGCTGCGAAACTTTCGCATGCGGAAGGGGACTTTCCTCGAACTTTGTGAGTTGCTGTCCCCTGCCCTGAAGCGCAAGGACACCCGCATGCGAGCAGCCCTCACTGTCCAGAAGCGAGTGGCCATAGCCCTCTGGAAGCTTGCAACGCCGGACAGCTACCGGTCAGTCGCGAACCACTTTGGTGTGGGCAAATCTACCGTGGGGGTTGTTGTCATGCAAGTAGCCAAGGCAATCGTCAAGGTACTGCTCCCAAAGGTAGTGACCCTGGGAAACGCGCAGGTCATCATAGATGGCTTTGCCGCGATGGGATTCCCAAACTGCGGTGGGGCTATCGATGGGACTCACATCCCTATCCTGGGACCGGACCACCAGGCCAGCCAGTACATCAATAGAAAGGGCTACTTTTCAATGGTGCTGCAAGCACTGGTGGACCATCGGGGACGGTTTACAAACATCTACGTCGGATGGCCGGGCAAGGTTCATGACGCTCGCGTGTTCAGGAACTCTGGTCTGTTTAGACGGCTGCAGGAAGGTATTTACTTCCCAGACCACAAAATAACTCTTGGGGATGTGGAGATGCCTACAGTCATCCTCGGGGACCCAGCCTACCCGCTAATGCCCTGGCTCATGAAGCCCTATACTGGCGCCCTGGACACAGAAAAAGAACTCTTCAACTACCGGCTGAGCAAGTGCAGAATGGTGGTGGAGTGTGCTTTTGGCCGTCTCAAAGGGAGATGGAGAAGCTTACTCACTCGCTGTGATCTCAGTGAAACCAATATCCCCATCGTTATTGCAGCTTGCTGTGTGCTCCACAATCTGTGTGAGAGCAAGGGGGAGACCTTTATGGCGGGGTGGGAGCTAGAGGCAAATAGCCTGGCTGCTGATTACGTCCAGCCAGACAGCCGGGCCATTAGAAGATCCCAGCGGGACGCCCTGTGCATCCGGGAGGCTTTGAAAGCTAGGTTCCTGAGTGAGCAGGGCAACCAGTGACTTTTCAGTTTGTGGACAGAAAAGCTGAACCTGCCCCCGTTTCTTTACCCAGTCCATTTTGACTATCCTCTCCAGTTACATACCCCCTTCACCCCCTTCCCCTTCCCAAAAAATAAAATCATTTCGATTTTGTTAATGAACACCGTTGTCTGTATTGCTGTTTTCGCGGGAATATTTTAAACCGGGGACGCAGACTGTGGCGGGGGGCGGGTTTAGTGTTCTGATGCAAATGATGCTTCTAAACTCCCGGAATGACAGGCTCCGCACTGGTGGACTGGTTATTTCAATGGAGCCTGCCAGCACTCCTGGGTGGGACTGTGTGTATGTGTCGGCTATGTGACTTTCTGGCAGGGGGGGTAGGGTTACAGATCCCCTGCTGCGTGGATCTGTGAGCCAGGATAAGGACCGCTGCATAAGATCTGTAACTGCCCTCCCCCTAGAACATGAAAAACACCTCCCAGACTGACCAGGGTAACCAGTGACTGCACTGTGTATGTGTCCTGATGCTGGACCTGACACCGCCTCTGTACCCTGCTAAAGGTCACTGTCCTGTCCAATTACCAAGCCCCTTCCCCCCCTCCAGACAGACTCTCCCTCAAAAGAACCTGACTGAAACAGTAATGAACAGAAACAAACATTTTATTGCGAACCAGACATGAAACGTGGGGGGTGAAACTTGGACGGGGGCTTGTGTGAGGTGGGTAGGAAAGGACTTATGAAATTTTGGGGAATGTCAGCCTTCTACTGCTAGAGCAGTCTGCAGGGGTTGACTGAAAGTTTTAACGGCCCTTGCCGCCCCTCCTTCTTTGGACTTTGGGTGAGGGTGGTGTGGGACTTGGTGGCGGGTGAGGGCGGTTACAGATAGACTGCAGCGGGGCTCTGTCCTCCTGCCTCCGGTCTTGCAGAACATCCACAAGGCGCCGGAGCGTGTCCGTTTGCTCCCTCATTAGTCCAAGCAGCTTTTCAGTAGCCTGTTGGTCCTCCTGACGCCACCTCTCCTCCCGTTCCATGACTGCTCGGTGCATTTGTGACAAGTTCTCCCTCCACTGTGTCTGCTGGGCTGCCTGGGCTCGGGAGCAGCCCATTAGTTCTGAGAACATGTCTTCACGCGTCTTCTTCTTCCTCCGCCTAATCTGCGCTAGCCTCTGGGAGTGTGCTGACAGGCTGGGTTGGGAGACAGTCGCAGATGTGTCTGTGTGAATTTTAAAAAGGGAGTGAATTCCTGAGACCGATAAATGAAATTGTATACAAAGAACCTAGTCTTTCTCTGTGAACAAGACCATGCACTGAACCTCTCACATGCGCACTCAGGACAAGGTCGAATTTTCGGCCGTCGCCTTCAGTGCCTGTGGACTTGCGGAGGTCTTGGAGTGTTCAGAGAACTGTGGCTGGAGACCTGAACTTCTGGAGCGGGCAATAATGGTAAGCCGCAGACTTGTGGCTGCTTAAAACTCCAGCAGTAGCACTGGCCTCCTTTCACATTGAAAGCAATGCCAGTCTCTGCTGCCAGCAATCAGGGCAGCATCAACTCTGCCCCTGTCCCACCCCCTCGCGGCTGTCCCAGGGAAAGATCCCTGTATGCTGCCCCTCTCCCTCCACTGCGTGGCTGTAAAGCAGTCCCAATACTAACATTCCCCTCCCTAATTCAAAGCAGGGCGTCATGAGCGACATCACCCTCCTGAGGATCCCGGACACCCAGAGAGAACGCATGCTGCGGGAAAGCATGCAGAAACCGGGGCCGTATGCCGCCATGCTATGTCGTGCGATGATCCCGGAGTACTTGATTGTGGCGTGGAGGGGACATGTCTGCTACCACGGAGGGCCCACTAAGATCGCCCTACCCCGGAACCTGATCAACAGGCTTGAGCTCTACCTCCACGAGACCTACGAGGAGTTCTCCTACGAGGATTTCTCGTCGATCCCCGGCCACATTGACCGGATTTTCGCGTAGGTGCACTGGGACTTTGGAGTGGAGCGTCTTGGGCCTGGGAATCATGTAGTTGCGGACATTGTGAAATTTTTTTAAAATACTTGGGACTAAATTGAGAAGAGCCTAAGACAGAGAAATCATGAAAACCCATTTGTTACCTTTGTAAATATTCCTGTTTTGTACCTGATTATTTTTTTACTAGTTTACAGCACTTTTATAAATATACATTGTTAATAGTATAAATATTACCGTTCTGTTTTAAATAAATGTTTACATGTTTACAGCACTTACTGCTTGATCCTTCCCCTGATTCTGTGTCCGGGGTAAGGGATGGGGACGGTTGGTACGGGATCTCGGTAAGGGTGATGAAGAGCTCCTGGCTGTCGGGGAAATCAGCGGTGCCAGCGCTGTCGACTGCCTCGTCCTCTTCATCTTCCCCGTCCGCTAACATGTCCGACGAGGAACCGGCCGCGGACAATATCCCATCCTCGGAGTCCACGGTCAGGGGTGGGGTAGTGGTGGCGGCCGCTCCCAGGATGGAATGCAGTGCCTCGTAGAAATGGGATGTGTGGGGCTGGGATCCGGAGCGTCCGTTAGCCTCTTTGGTTTTTTGGTAGCCTTGTCTCAGCTCCTTGATTTTCACGCGGCACTGCGTTGCATCCCGGCTGTAGCCTCTCTCTGCCATGGCTTTGGAGATCTTCTCGTAGATCTTAGCATTCCTTCTTTTGGAGCGCAGCTCTGAAAGCACGGACTCATCGCCCCACACTGCGATGAGATCCAAGACTTCCCGATCAGTCCATGCTGGGGCCCTCTTTCTATTAGATTGCACGGCCATCTCTGCTGGAGAGCTCTGCATAGTTGCCACTGCTGCTGAGCTCCCCTCGATGTCCAAAGAGGAACTGAGATTCAAACTGCCCAGACAGGAAAATGAAAATGAATTCAAATTTTCCCGGGGGTGTGGCTGGTCAGAGCATCCGAGCTCGGACTGCTGTCCAGAGCGTCAACAGAGTGGTGCACTGTGGGATAGCTCCCGGAGCTATTACCGTCGATTTCCATCCACACCTAGCCTAATTCGATATGGCCATGTCGAATTTAGCGCTAATCCTCTCGTTGGGGAGGATTACAGAAATCGATTTAAAGAGAGCTTTATGTCGAACTAAATGGCTTCCTGGTGTGGACGGGTGCAGGGTTAATTCGATATAACGGCGCTAAAGTCGACATAAAAGCCTAGTGTAGACCAGGCCTAAACGACTCCTAGGGACGAGATGACTGCACTGAAATGCATCTCTCTCTGCCAGGGTAACATGACCTGTTCCATACCCTTGCTGCTGTGTATGGTCTCCTGCCTGTTGCTGATCGCCTCGTGTCACAGTAACAGAGCAGCAGAATCCAGAGGCCTTGAGAGTGATTTTGATGTCTTCTCAGATGTTCTAGGCTCCCATTTTGGGTTGCAAGCAGCTCCTGTACACTGGCTGAGCCAGGGTATAGGGGCTGTAAACCCAGGAGGAACACTCAAGATACACGGGGGAGGAAGCATCTTGGGCTGGCTGACTGTAGCCCAGATGATCACTCTCACTATCTACTATAGTAAGTTTGTCCTTTGTTCTGTTTTTCTTTTACAGCAGAGCTTGGTCCTGGCTAGATGCAACCCTGTACTCAACGCTGATGCTTCCTCTGCTATAAGGGAGATCACTGAAGGATGTCTTTCTCCCAGTCCCTGGTGGGCAACTTCTCTTTGCTCCAGAACAGCCTGGCTGTATCCTCGGGTGGGAGCATCACCCCACGCTGCTTTCATGTGGATGAAAGGAACATAATCAGCTGGCTATTGTTCCTCACTTTAACTTTCTAAATGACTCTTTGCTGTTTTGTATTTGGCTCCTCTGGGCCCTTCTGTTTCCATGCTGGAGATGGGAGGCACTTTGGCCCTCTCTAATCTCTCGAACATACAAGGAGAAGGATCTGCCAACTTGCCTAATCAAGCAGGGGGTAGAAGGTGTCTCAATAACCAATGAGAAACCTCCAGCTACTAACTCTTTGGGAGTAGGAGGGATAAAGCTGAACAGAAAAAGATTAATGGGTGTAGTGGGGAAGCAGGGGGAATGCTCAACAGAGAAGGTTGGTGGACTGATTCTTAGAACCACCTCTACTCAGGCCTCCATAATCTGGTGGAGCCACAACTGTATTGGCAACCTAGACCATGTCGTATGTATCAAAGAACCACCATGTTCTTCTGTAAGTGGGGAAAACTTACCTCCTGTTTTGTTTTTCCATCTTTTCGCCTGTGCCTCTTCTGCTGTGAACTTTAATACGAGGTGGGGAAAACCTATATGACTGACCCTCTCCTCTGCCTTTGTGTGGATGTCTAGGCCAGATTAGTCTATTCCAGTTGAATACAAGATTCCAATCCAGACTTTTCTAATTCTACAGCTGTTTCCATACCGAGGTGGTCCCTTCACCTGTCAATCAGTGCCAGTCTGTTCCAGACTGACTGTCCCATGTGACTAGTGGCAGCTCAGACTTGGGGTTTGAGCCCATGCAGTAGCTCTTGCCTTTTGATCTCCGCTGATGAGTCTGAGGGTTCCTTTTCCATTTGCTACATACTCAAACCCACTGAGCTAATCTTTTTAACATGAGCCCCAGTGGAGCGGTGTGAATATTCCCATTAAAGTGCATCAGCAAACCTTGGCCAGTGCTCCTGTGTGTGGACTGTGTTGGTGCAGCTTGGAAACCAGCAATCTTCACCACTTTTCTTCACCCATTGGAGCTGCCTAGGTAGAAGGGTGTTCTGGGGAGGTAGGGGCTTGTTGTAGGGATGGGGAGTGCCCCTGGAGATTAGTAAACCTCAGACCTCCACAGTAACAGACAGGATTTGGTTTGCTCCCAGTCCCTGCAAACTAACTCTCCTGGGTCAATTTGTCAATTCCTTCATGTCCTCTAGCCCACAGTCTTTGGCACATCCCTGATCTCCTCTCATTAAAAATGTTTCTGTTCTTCCCCCTGCAGCTTGCTTCTGTTCTCCTCAGATAGGAACCCCTGCCTTATGGGGCCTCTCTCATCCCTCAGTTTGCTTTCTGCTTTAATTGATTCTGTCCTGGATTTATTTTTTGTGTGTGAGCATTTAATAAAATGTCTGAGGAAGATATTGTAACAATTGTGGCTCTGAGGGTTTCACTAATGGTCAAAATGGTCCAGTTCATACAACAAAGTTGTTTCCAAAGTCTCCACCTGCCCGGCTACAGCAACATGTTGGGAGAAGCAAAATTTCCCAGGTTCTCTGAAATGAAGAGAGCAGAAGCCCAGCAAATACTAGTGGGTTTAGGAAAAGATCCTGCCACTTAAAGTTTTCTGTGGTAGGAGCATTTCTGACTTTCACTGGTAATGGGGAATCGGGTGAGTAAAATGATCTGTAAATGATCAGATCCCATTTAGGGAGTGGATAAAAGACTGTGGCTGTAGCATAGAAAATTGCTTTCTTAAAAATGAGACCTCTAGAAGGAGCAGAAAGCAAAGCTGGTTCTCAGTCCATAGAGATGGTCATGATCAGTTCTTTGGCTGAAATGCAGAAATTTAACTGTGTAAATCTAATTTTGGAAAATGTTGCGCACCCAGCTCTAGGTTTAGTGTACTGGTGGCATCACTTCACAGGAAGCCAAAGCAGCACTGAAGGACAGAATGAGGCTGGTATAGGTAAATGCCCTGGCTGTCAGTATTTGGAACCATCTGAAGACCATGTTGCCAAACCCACTACACAGGCCACTATGCCAAAGCTAATCGGCCTTAGCAGTCCTACCTCCCTGGCAGTTTCTGTACCATCCTCTGAATGTACAGGCAGAAGCCGTGCAGTGCTATCCTTACCTATGCTATCCAATAATGGTTGGAAAAAGGCCAGTCTTCTCTTCAGTTATGTTCTCTGTTTGCAGTACCTCCATAGAAGCCTGAAACTAGAAGTCTTTCCAGCATTGTCTTAGCCAAAACTTTTTTTAATCTGGAGAAGGGACTGCCTCTGCCCTGACACACCCTTATCCTTTTAATAAAGCTTGGCATTAAGATGCTGCTTTCATCAGAGCACTGAACTTATCTCTAGGAATCTCAAGCTGGCACCTTGCCCAACATTCAATTCTATTTTGGAGTGGTAGGGAAGCAGGGAGACATCTTTTATGTGCCAGAACCATGGATTTCATAGCAAAACTCTGAAAGATCTGTGTGACGTGGGCTCTCTTTAGCAAGACTTACACTCTGGCATATTCACCTTCCCTCCCACACACTTGGGCCCAGATTCACAAAGGTACGAACGGTCACTGGGATCATTGGAAGTTAGTGCCCAATTACCCCTCTGACCCAAGACTCCATGGCCCAGATTCAAGTCACAACTGGTCTCAGTAGAAACAACTATCATGGTCAAGGTGCTGGCTTCAATGGAGGAACGAACAAACTTCATAGCTGCTTCTGTAACCCACACACCTTTTGGGTGTGGTGTTCTGGCCCACTTATAATGCCAACAGACCCCAGTTGTCAGCAGGCAGGATCGAACAGGGGAACTCTGTAGCTTAGTGCATGAGCCTCTAGGGCATGAGCTAAAAGCCAACTGGCCTTTAGTTCATGTGGTAGAAGCTCATGCACTCAGCTCCACAGGCCCCAGGTTTGATCCTGCCTGCTGACGACCGGGGTCTGTTGGCATTACAAGTGGGGCATTTTATCTCTCTTGCTCTCTAAGTGGGCTTGGTGCCACCAGATGGGACAGAACACCACACCCAGAAAGTGTGTTACACTTCCTCTGGAGCATTTCTATCTCTAGTGATGGGGAGGGAGAAAGAAGATCCAGGAGAAACTGGGCTTGAATACTCTCTGGTTGCTTTCAGGAACTACCTGAAACTGGGAATTTTTCCGTACTTCATTTAACTTTCATACTCGCTGGAACTCCTCTCCCCGGGGCTGCAGTATGGATATGCAGCTAGCATTGGTAGTGGTGGAAGCCAGCTCCCAAGGTCACTGAGAAGTAGGCAAAGGACTTGAAGGCAGATGTGGGGGGCCTATAATGTTCTATGTGATCCTGATGTGAAACTCAGCGAGGCCCAAGAAGCTGCCTAAGGCTACCAGACCTGTACAGTAGCGAGTGAATGGAAGCAGAGTGGGAAACACTCTCTGCACTCTCCTCCTCACATCTCACCCTTGCACACAATCCCCCTCCCCAGGGGTGAAAGTAACTTAAAGGACTTACCGGTATGCCAGAGTCCTGAGTGGGGGCGGGGCCTCAACCGGAAGAGGCAGGGAGCCCCAGGGCCTTTAAATCACCCCAGAGCTACCAGCTGCAGAGGTGACTGGGAGCCCCGGGGACTCAGGGGCAAATTAAAGGGCCAGAGGCTCCAGCTGCTGTGGACTGGTCCCCACTGACTTCTATTGGAGTAAAGGTGACAGAATGGGCCCTTCTGTCGCATGTACCTCTGTTCCATAAAATGAAACTGCTCCCCATCTAGCTAGATGTTGATATAGCCTTGGTCACTGTAGCAGCTGAGATCCTCTCAGACATTAATGAATTCATCCTAATGACCCTGGTGATGTAGCAGAGTAGTATCTCCTTTTTATAAGGGGAAACCGAGGCACAGCTGAACTGCCTTTCTTGAAGTCATGCGGGCAATCTATGCTGGGAGCTGAACTGAGATGGCTCGGGTCTTAGTCCAGTGCCTTAACTGCAAGACCATCCTTCCTCCTCTTGTGCTGCTTTAACATTTCCAAGCAAGATTCCCCTGGAATGCTGTCAGGTGAGGCTTGAATCAAACCCTAGGCTCTGAATGCCACACCTGGAATGTGAGACCTCCAGATCTGAACTCTGGACTGAGCCGGTGAGTGTAATGAAAAGGAGACTGATCACTTCTTTTACTAAAACACACCCACTTCAGTGCCGCTGTCTTGAAACACATCTAGCACTTTTGGTGAGCAATGCTAAAATAACAAGTGTGTGTGATTAAAAATTGTACTGAAATGTGTTTTAGTTTCAGCCTTTACAGCAGTGTTTAAAATGATAGACTAAAAAGCTGATGAAAAGAATTTGAGAAAATCCTCAAGTATTCACTATTTCCAGGGCTTGCTCTGCTTAAAGACTGAAGGCTGGATTTCAACTAGCTTCTGTTTCTAGCTGTAAAATTGTAGGTGCAGTTTTGTGACTGCACGTATGTGTGCCCACAATTTACATAGTGAAGAGTCTGACTGAAAGCCCCTTGAAACGGTCAGATTCCCACGGACTTCACTGAGCTTTGGCTCAGGCTATTAGTGAACAGCTAAAAGCAGAGGAATTAGGTAGATTTTGAAGTTAATTTAATTGTGGGGTTGTTGATTTAAAAAAAAAATTGCACTTGTACCCTCTGGAAATGGAAGCTGGTGTCTGAAAATCTGGTCTGAATGTCAGGTTTTCCTCCTTGGAAATATTAGTGGAACTCCCACAGATAATGGACTAGTACTGGATAAGTGTTTTGAAAACTCTCAGAGCAAGTATACTGACGTATCATCCTCTTTTGTTCGGTCTAAGAATCTAAGTACCATCACTGGAATAAACTTTTTTCCTCCTAGCTGTATAAAGAGTGGGTCTGACATTGGCCAAAAATATATATAATAAAGAATTCATAGTTTTTTTTTTTAAGGCTAGAAGAGACCACTGTCATCTAGTCTGACCACCTGGATTACACAGGGTTTAGAACTTCACCCAGTGACTCTTGCCTTGAGTTCACTAAAGGTTGTTTGAATAGTTGTGCTGTGGTTGAGCTGGAGCGTATCTTTCAGAAAGACATCCAATCTTTGTTTAAAAACTCCAAGTGATGGAGGATTTGCAATGCTAAACAGTTTAAAGTCTATTTTTCTTTCTTTAAATAACGGGGTAAAAGACAGAGGGAAAACTTGTCACTCCAATCCAGGTCTCTGGCATGCATGCATGAATGGTTACAGATTACACAAGAATGAAAACAACTCTTCATCCCACAGTGTAATCAGATGTTTTATGAGGTTTGTAAAAACCTTGGGTAATTCTAGTTAATGTCCATCTTCTTAATGTTGCGTAACTCTGCACTGCCAGGTTTTGTCCAGAAGTAGCAGTAATGAAGTCTCTCTGTTATTTCTGGTTTTAATAAAACCAGCAACTATTAAGCGTCAAGTCCAAGATTTAAGACCGTTATGGCATTGACTTCAGTGGGAACAGGATTAGGCCCAGTTTGAATAAAGCATCCCTTGCAAGTTTCAAGTCTGACTTCTACACCAAAGAAGTTTGGATAAGCTTCAGACAAGTATGTGACCTTTCCATTCCAAACTGAAACATCAAGATTGCTGGAAGTTTGCCAGTCACTCAGCACTGGCTGGAATGTGAGAATACCCCTGAATGGCTATTCCACTGCTGATCCTTCAACTTGTGCTCCTCATCTCTGGTTTACATAGGACGATGTTTTAGAAATTGGATCTAGCATTCTTCCTGTAGCTCGCTTGGAATTCATGCTTAACACTGGGTTGTGGTGATCAATTTATAGATGCACAGAGCCAGATCTTCAGCTGATATAAATCAGCATAGCTTCATTGAAGTAAATAGACCTATGCTGAGGATCTGGCTCATGGATTTTAAGGCTACAAGTATCTTATATGACTACCTGCTTAACACAGGCCATAGAGTTTCACCCTGTGATTCTTGCATTGAGTCCAATAACTTATGGTTGAACTAGAGTATATCTTTGGGAAAGACATCCAACTTTTATTTAAAGACACCAAGTGTTGGAGCATTTACCACATTCACTGGTTAATTACCTTCATTATTACAAACGTAAGTCATTGTATTTCCATTTTGAATTTCAGCTTGACTTCAACTTCCAGCTGGTGGATCTCGTAACACCTTTATCTGCTATATTAAAAAGCCCTCTAATATCAGAGATCTTCTCCCAGTGTGGGAACTCATAGACTGTGATCGAGTTTCTTCTTAATAGTGTCTTATATAAGAACGGAGATTCTGGGTCAGAGCAATGGTCCATCTAGCCCAGTGTCCTGCCTTTTGACAGAGGCCAATGGCTGGTGCTTCAGAGGGAATGAACAGAACAAGCAATCACTGAGTGATCCTTCCTCTGTCATCCATTTCCAGCTCCTGGAAGTCAGAGGCTAGGGACACCCAGAACATGGGGT